CGAATCATGAAATTGCAATTTTTGAAATTTGAGCACGTGGCGCAGCTGTAGGAGGTCTTTAGACCAAGCCAACCATAGGAATTTTTAATTCACAATCACGTGATAACATCCATAATTTGCCGAAATAGATTTTATATATTAATATTAATAGTTATGAAAAATCCATTAAATCTGTTAAAGCGAGATAAAATAATTATAGAAGAATTTGGTTTTGAAAATTTATCTGTTAAACCCCGAAATCAAGGTCTGCTAAACTGAGACTCACTGTGTATATTTTATCATCGATCTCAATTAATGTAAATTATCAAATATTTAAATAAAACTTTTTCATTTTATTAACATGAATGTTATTAAAAAAAAATACCACCCAATTATTACAAGTATACCAATATATAATTATTTTAATTATAAGATAAATTCTAACATTTATTTTTTAATACGGCGTTTACTGACTGGTTTGGCAATTGGTCTACCTGAAACTGGTTGAGTGTTTAGCACTAAAGAATTACCACTAACATCACCACTATCAACAAAGTTGAAAAATGGCATTTGTGAATCATTATTAGAGAAATTATTAATTGGACTCTGAAATATATTATTATTGATATTGCTGCTACTTTGACCCCCACCAAAAGAATTTTGTTGCTGTTGTTGATGTTGCAATGAAAATGGATTGTTAAATATAAAAGTTGAAGATGTATCAGGCGAATAAAGTTGAATAGGTTGTGTTTTTGGAACCTCTAAATCAAATTTAAATGAAGAACCTCCATTATTAGCACCACCACCGCCAATATCAACAGGTTGGATCATATTTGATTCATTATGACTTGATACCAGATCAGTTTTACGATTAGTTCGAATGCTTTGAGCAAAATTTACAGAACTTTTCAGTCTTCTATTATTATTATTATTGCTATTATTGCTAAAGGAACCATCACCAGCTGACATACTCCACAATGATTGATCAAAATTTTGAAATTTGCTTGCGTCAAATGATGACACAAATAATGATGATGATGGCATTGGTGTTGGTGTTGGTGGGTTAGATAAATTTGGCAAAGAGTTGAATTGCCATGGAGATATTTGCGATGATGCAGCAGGGGAAGTGGTAGTAGTATCTGCTGCCACAGTGAGAGAAGCGGAAGAGCCTACATCAATATCCATTGAATCAGAATGTGAACTTATATCCAAAGATGTTGGAGATGATGACTGTTGTGTAATAAATGAAGTAGAAGATAATGGTTTTGTTAAAGGCGTTTGCATAGTCTCTTTATTATTTTCAATCTGACTATCCTCCTTTTTATTTTTGTTTGCTGTTTCTTTTTCATTAGAATCTACTAAATCAGCAGGTTTTACCAATGGATTGATAATAAATGCTGGTGACGTTAGATTAGGCTTTGTGCTGAACAAGCTATTTGTGTTTAGATCTATTGATGTTTGGTCTTCATTTAGTTTTGGTGAAGAAAACTTTGATCCAAAAACATTATTTACCGGAGAAGATTTGACAGCCTCTTTAGGCACAATAAATTTGGTGATGGAAACAAGAGCAGCCGATGATGGTGTTGTTGAAATTGGTTTAGCAGATTTATCATCAGTTACAATATTTGAAGCAGTATCCCTAGTACTGGTGGTAGTAATGTTGGCAGTAGGAGCAGACACTTTTGCTTCTTCTGTTTGTAAAATTGTATTATTAGCATTATTAAGATCAAAAGAAGGGACCGAAAATGGATTATTAGTTACACTTGATACTAAAGGAATTGAATTCACATCTTTGATAATAAGATTATCATCAATAGGTTCTGTTGTTTTAAGACTGTTGTCAATTCCATAGTTATTGTTGTTGTTGTTATTAATGTTATTATGACCATCAAAAAAATTTTTAGAGATATTTGAGGTTGGTTTAGAATTGTGATTATTATTATTGATGATCTTATTGTTTGTTGAAAATGGAATTGAGAAATCATTTTTTAGTTTTGGTATTTCATTATCTAATTGTTTACTATCATAATTATTTTTTGAAGCAAGTGAATTACTTGTAGATAATATGCCTGATTTAACATTGTTAACACCAACATTATTAACATTGTCATTGTTAATATTGTCATTGGTAATAATCATATTTGAACTATCTAATTCCTTCGATGTTGATGATGATGATGATGTTGTTGTTGGTTTTTGAATGATGATATTCTCGACTTCTTTTTCTTCTTTTTGTTTTGTTATTATTGAAAAATCATATTGTAAATAATTTGCTGGATCAGGCTTTTGAACAGGCGAAGATGATATAATAGTCCTACCACTGCTGCTACTAACATTATTACCAATAGTTGATGATGATGACATTGCCCCATTATTAGTTAATGAAAGATTATAATTATCTATATCATATAAAATTTTAGGATCAATTTTTATAGGATTTCTAACAAAATCAATTTTCGCTTGATTTAATTGTTCATATTTAAATCTCTTAGAAACTGGTGGTTTCACAAGAATTTTCTTTATTTGATCAACATCATTCTCATATAATACAGATGAATTGGATTTTGAATTTTGATCTTGCAAATGAGCGAAATTCTTAAAACCTAAAGGTTTGATTTTATTACTTGGACTCAATGATGATGATGAGGGTGGAATGACTTCAGAAAGTCTTTTTTTGCCAGATAAAAAGTCTGTTTCAGCAGCAATATCTTTTTCTCTTGCCGAGTACGAATAACCTCTTTTTTTATGAACGATTGGAAGACTTTCCATTAACAATTTTTCCTCGATACGAGCACTAGAATCAGTTTCGACCAAGTCACGATTTCCATGAAGACGAGGTTTTGAAGGATCTCGACAATTTTTTGATAATTGTTCAATGTTTACCTTTCCTTTTAAAGAGGGCCATTTAATATTGTTAGTATTATCGTTGTTGTTATTGATGATATTACGATTATCATCGTCAGTATTGATAATATTGTTGTTGTTGTTGTTGTTGTTGTTGTTGTTGTTGTTGTTGTTGTTGTTTGTAACTGTTTGTCCAATATTAAAATTATTATTACCATTATTATTATCGTTATTATTATTCCTTTCTGCTCTTTCTGATGCAAATAATCTAGTAAAGTAATTATTTATATTACCAAATATTCTATGAATGTAAATCGAAATATTATCTAGAGAGATACTAGTAGTTGCAGAAGGAGTAGCGGCATCTCTGTCATAAGGTGTTCTTAGGTGAATCCGATTTCTACGAAATCTTATAGGTCCAGCAGATGAGAATTCTAACCTTGGATCGATTTCAAGAACATTATTTAAAAAATTATTGTTATCATTATTATTGTCATGATTATTGTTACTATTATTTATTATTGACTCCATATGTATATATATAATTCTATTTCTATGAAATGACGACGAAAAAATGAAATGTTTGTATGTCACGTTGTCATGGGCTCAAAGTTACACAAGTTTAATTATACGAAAAATGTCCGTGGTAGAGAGAATCTGTTATTATTATAGACAGTAATTATTATGCTTAAATTTTCCCAATCTGTTGTAGAGCAAGCTCTGTTATAGAGAGATCGGCTATTATTATATATTAATATTAATAGAGAGTGAACAAATGGTATGTTGAAATACATTTATTCAAATGTACATATTTATTATTATTATTTATTAATAAAATATTATTGATGTTATTAATATACATCTACAAATTCTATATCTATCTAATATATAAAAATTTATTTATTTAGTAAAATACAAATTTCATTAATGAAGTAAATAATCAAACATTTTATTAACTTGGTGTTGTCAAGGTAGTTGTGGTTGTATTATTTATTATTTCATTATTTAATTTTTTAGATAAAAAACTCAATTAATTGAAACATCTTTTCTTTTTTTTAGCATTTAGGTCATATATTTTATTTTAACATTTAGGTGAATATATTTTATCATTTTAACATTTAGGCGAATATATTCTTTTCCATGTTAATTTGCATATTCAATGGTTGATTTGTCAAGTTAATAATTATTAGGCATTATTTATTATTTTATTATTTTAATTTTTAGATAAGTAAACATTAAAATGAAAGTCCAACATTTAGGTGAAACATTCTTTTCCATGCTAACTTGCATATTCAATGATTGACTTGTGGTTGTTTGGTCTACAGTCAAATGATGAATTATTGTTATACAACCATCAAAGAAAAAAAAATTCAATATCAATATCAACATCAACTAATGGGTAATAACACTATTATCTATTGTTTATTGTATAAATTCTAAATTGTAATTCATAAATAAATAACTACTTGCTATACAAAAAAAAATTTTTGATAATTTTATTTTATTCAAAATCAATTTTTACGTGATGTCTTGGTGGCAATTTTTAACCAATCAAATGTGATCAAATATCACTCTAATGATGGTGGCCGAAACTAACCCATAGCTTAAGCAATTAGGCAATTTTGGTTTAGGCCTAATTTCACCCTTGAAAACTTTCTGGTGAAATTAGCGAAACTCAAAAATTGCCTAAACTGTGAGGTGGTTCCACTAGGGAACCGGTTCTGAGCGGTTCTGAACCGAACCGAACACAGAACCGAGTTCTAGGGATGTTAATCGATTATACAAAAATCGATTTTTCCGCAATCGATTATAAAATCGATTGTGTGTCCCACAATCGATTAAAAGTGATCGACAAAATTTTATAATC